CATTCTTACTTTTCAAAGTAAGACGATAAGTATCTTGAATAATGCAATACCACTGAATAATGCAATAATTAAGAAAACCCGTGAGATATACTAATAAAAACAAATGTATATAATAACTGTCTATTGTAAAAATATATGGAATACTCAAAATTTCTTGCATCCATACAATGAAAGAAATAAAATGCGTCTTAACCTTTAAATGCCACACCTCTCAAGAATCTCGTAAATGACACATAAGGTCTAAAAGACCCCAGCATGAAAAATGTCTCCTTACTCATTGATTTTTTGATATTTAGTTATGAAAATTATTTTCAATGTTGTTCAAGGCTTAGAAAAGAGAATAAAGTGCTTATATTGTTAAAATTTCAATTTCAACATAGTATAAAAAATCAAGTAAACTGAGTTCCCGCTAAGTGTACAACCGGGTAGGTCAATCTCTCAACTATCATCAATGGGAGCATGAGCTCCATTTTTGGGGGAAACATTTGAAAATATATCATTGTAAAGGGTCTGAGGTCCGCTGGACCGGATGGCATTTAAGGGTTAAATAAATATCTATCTGTTTAAAAAGCGGAATATTAAAATTACGGATTTCTCGTCTAATTGCAAGAATACAAAAAAATCGATTAGATTAGATTTGATTGATTGGATTACATTGGATTTGATTAGACCACTAGAAAGTAACTCAAAGAGAGAGAAATAATTCAGAAGGCACAGTTTGCAAGTTTTCACAGAAAAATTCATCGTCCAACGCGAAGAAGAAGTTGATTAGCTACGAACATTTTCCTTCGTTAGACCCTTCCCCTTAATTTTCCCTCGTGCACTTTATAATCCGTCTTCGGTCTGTTGACCGCGTAACGTAATGCGTCTCGTCTCAATTCCTTCTCGTATCGCGCCGCTCTTCCATTTCTTTCGTTTCTCTTTCCTCCTCTGTTCCTCGGGTTCCTTCGAGGAGACGGGAAAGAGACGCAGTTGCAACTTACAACCGCGCAATTTCATGAAACATCGCGAACGTGTGATGGAAACAGGCGTAAACTCGAGCGTAAACAACGATCTACAATTCTACGTGTAAAAGTGCACGATCATGCAAAGTAATTTACAAGTAGTCCAAGTGAACAAAAAAAATATCTACTAACTACTTTTGACAATATATATGCTATTTTATATAATACATAAAATAGTTTATATGTATAAGCATTAACTGCTAAGTTGGAAAGCTCTCGCAAACCAAGATTTAAAAAAAAATAAAAAAATTAATTTGGATCCCACGTTGAAGTTGAATAATTTTTTTCAGACCCTAACAAATTTTACGATATAATTTCTGGTAAGTTTCATTAAAGAAATAGATCGATTGAAACGGATTAGTTATTTATCAGAATATTCTTTTTTTATTTTGCCTTTGTAAACCTCACGCTGTGACGAAGTGTTTCCTCATTCTCTTTGCGGGAGACACCAAAAATGGATGGAGCATGCGATAGACGCATGCAACGACGCGCGAGAGGATTTAGAAAACCAACGTAGCGATCGTGCGGCATGATACACATCCAAATTTAGGATCCTGACTTGCTCTATCTCCTCTCGAACGCCCGAAGTTCGTTTTTCGGGCGCTGAATGCCGCCCACGCGATTAAAAAAAACCCCGTTAACTCACCTAACGAGTTTTTTTTTATCAGCCCTTTAGTACCGAACTGTACAAATAAGATACTTTTCAAACACGTACAGCATATGTGCATGTAACCAGCTAATATATATATATATTTTTTTTTCCTTTTTATAATAAATATCATATTATGTAGCCCCGAAGTAATCATATAAAAAATAATAAAAATAAAATTGGAGTTCCTCATTGATTAGAGAAACTGAAATTTTCTAGTAGAAGTTTGTGGGCCAGGAGCCTCTATCTTTATTTAGGGATTAAATAAATAGTAAGTATTCGTGTAATCGCGAACATCCGGACGAGATACGTAAGAATAGATAAGAAACCTAACAAAGTTAATTACTATTCAAATCCCTTCTCAGAGTGAAGGAATCTAAATTCTTTTTATTCGTAGTAAATAAACATATAAAGATTAACGATTATTATTAAGTACCATAAAGCGACAGCGAACGGATTATTCTAAATAAAGATGCACTGACGTAACGAGATTCCAAAGTTCGTGCACTTCACTCCAAAGTTCATTTCTAACGCGGGAAAAAAGATAAATCTTTGGTGCAGAGCTATCGTCTGCGCTTATATGGAAGAAAGATTCGGCGTAAAACTGACTGAAGAGAAGAGTCTCTCTCTCTCTCTCTGTCTCTCTTCTCTTCCCGTCTCTCTTTCTGTATGCAGAGACCGCGCTCAGTATCGGTCATTCAACGTAAGGATAAACGAGAATATCGCGGCGAATGGAACTGAGGACGGCTCGGCGAGCGGAACTAAACGAGAACGGTACATCCTGTAATCTGTCTCAAAAAAAGTTTCGGTCCGCTATAATGTGTCAATCTTCCCGACAACGGCCGCGAGAAAAGAAATCAGATACTAAGGACGTATTAATTGTAGATAAAATAACAATTCTTTTCCGTCGTAAAATAAATTCTTTACGCGACATCCTTCCTAAATAATATTTCGTCGTATTTAAGATAAAAACATGCTAATTCTACGTACGCAACAGACTCGTACAATAGCACTATATTGGTTAATCCTTTAATTCTACAGAGTTTAAAGTGTTAATAATACAATTTCGCTTGTATAAATCCTGTCGTATAATAGTAAATAAATTGAAAATAAGAGAAACTGTTAAAATTATAGTTAATTTGCGAGTATATCTCCCTGCATTTTCGTGGCTAAATATACGAACCTATATATTTATGAAGCTGTTTTGGAATAAAGCAAATTATCGAAATAGCGCAAAACTAAGTTAAAATTTTTTTAATTGGCTGACTAATTCCAGACTCCGGTCTCTCGCGCGAATAAAGTCGGATAAATTAGCACAGCGAATGGAAGTAAATGGGAATTGCAACGTCACGGTCTTTCGCGATAAAAACACACTTCCCGCACAAAACTCGCTCACGGTTTCACAGTTTTGAGCAAAACGCGAGTCGTAAATCCGAGACATTTCAAGGTCTTATCCTCGACGGAAGCGGAAGTTGGTACATACGGTGAATGAAGCAAAAGATTATTTGCTACATTCCGCTTGAATGACGGGATAGAGCGAAATAAATTTCAACGATATTTATTTTTAATGGCGGCAAACAAGAATTCGTAGAAACGAGGGAAGCTAAACGAGAACGAGCATCATCTTGGTGCCTAAAAATTGCCCGAAGAATAGTCGACATACTTTACAAGTACATATGTACTTGTTTAAGTAGATATATAATGGAATACCGTTACATGATTATGCAATACAAAGTATGTAGATAATTAGCATACGTAGATAACACGTAAGCAACGTGATAATCTCACGAAATGTGTCGGTGCTGTACACCTCGTGACTGCTTTTAAAAAATGCTTGAAAAATATTTAATCGTAAATACAAAATACATAAATAAAATGAAATAAAAGATATATATAACTAAAACAAACGCACGGATACGCTCTTTTAATTTTACAGGTACTCTCTCGTATATATCCCTTCTCGTTGTTATTTCCTCCTATAATTTGTAATTTACTTTTTCATGCGTGGAATACACCAAAGAGCAAAGCTATGCAACTATGTTAGGCCTTCCGCAATCTACATTTATAGATACCAGTTATAACGTTCAGTTGAACCATTGCAATCGGTTCGCGAACGGTACATCCTGCCATGTATACTCCCACTCCGTTTCTGCGTGTATCTCGAAAAAAAATGCCGCGTACCCGTTCTATGCCATGCCATGAGCGAGACTGCACATTCTACAACGATCGGAAAATAAAATCTCAGACAATAACGTTGCTACGTTAATGCGCGCTAAAAAAAAAACGTTTAACGTGGATGCAATTTAGCGCTTATTTATCCAGTTCCATATAGACTCCGTTCTTAGGTAAACGTTATTGAAGCTTAGGCGAGCTTGAAGAAATTTAAAAGCAAGTGCCAAAAAAACTTTATCGAATAATTCTATCATTGTTGTATTCATCTGGAACGTTCTATGGGTATCAAATCAAGCCGGATAAACATTACGAAGACAGAATCATCGAGACTTGTGTTCTTCAAGACAATAAACGTGAATGTAACCAAAAAAGGAAGAGATAAGACGTTTTGCTTTATCTTCTCGCCTCTGTATCTCTTTTATTTATCGGGCTTAAAAATCACTCGAAATATGGCTCTCTGATATCCATGTTTGGCATACCAAATTTGACCCACGCTCTCGTCATGCACCATTTGAAGTACCGTACTTATAGATTTTATTTATTCGAGATTCGAACTGAAAACAAACGCGAATTTATATCCTCGTAACGGTCTAACAGCTTTCAACGGGTGTTATAATACAGTTAATCGAGATCCCGGCAACGTACAACATCCAGAATGTCCTCGCATCCTTTTGACACGCTGAACGCGGGGAGCTATCTCGCAGCCTTTTATGCGCCAAGCGTACTTTTGTTCTCGCGTCGCGAGAACGGCGCGGCGCGCAACAAGTGGATTCCTCGGCTTCTCTTTCCAGGTTTTATCCAATTCTTCTGAAAACTATTACATACATATGTATACGTATTCATTTATTCGATTTTTAATCCAAACTGAATGAAACTGAACGAAACTTTCCGTCCGTCGCGCCGCGCCGCATCGAGACGCAACAAGTAGACGGCTCCCTTCGGCGAGCGCGCGGAGCGTTCCACGACGTTAAACACGCGTGCATCACGCACGACGACGACGACGACGACGAGGAAGGCCGTCGACCGGCGTGGCGCGAAGGCCGCCACTGGGCCGAGCCCTACTCAATGGGGCCGAACGGGAACGGTACATCTCTCCCGGGGAGAGCGGCACTCCTTTCTCGGGAGATCAGAACTCGAGAGGGATGCGCTTCGAGCGAGCCGTGTTCTTTACGTACCTTATCGAGGCACTTGAGCTCCTCGATCGGGTAGACCGTCTTCTCGCAGCGGGCGCACGTCTTGCTCATCTTTAATCTCCTCTTCCTTCTCGGCTTACACACGTCGTCCTCTCCGCCGCGGTTCACCGCCGCTCACCGCGCACTCGGGATGCTGATCCGCGCGGGCACGCGCACGCGGTCTCTCGCCGAATATATATTTCCTTTTCCACCGTTCCTCGGACCCGCGAGAGGTTCCTCGAGACACCGACTCAACCGACTGCGAGCGGTGTTACGCACGCACGCACGACGCACGACACAGGACAGGACGCACGCACGGACACACGCTCGTATACGTATATACACACACAACAAGAGAGCCGACTCAGCCGACGGATCTCGGTACTCGGTATTGCACGTGCGTGACGTATTATACACACTAGCGACACGTCCGACCGACCGCCGCCGTTCCTGGACGACTGCCTCGGACTCGGACGGCTGCTGCTGGCGCCAGATCGCGAAAATCCGGCGGGAAAAACTAGTCACCGACTAGACTCGACCGTATTATCTTTCCGCGACTGGACGGCGACTCGACGGCGTCGGACGTCGGACTTTGTAAACGCGCTCTCGGGTCCCGTTCTACGTCCCCACTTTTTTTTTTCTCTCTCTCTCTCTCTCTCTCTCTCTCTCTCCCTCACTCTATCCTTTCTTGACTCGCGCGAGACCCACGGAAACGACCGCGACAGCGGGAAAACCCTCGAACTCGCACCGCACGGCCGCACCACTCGCACCGAACCGCACTGCCCTCTCGTCCTCGCCTAATCACAAAAAAGAGCCGTCAAACGACAGCGATGGTGGGACGCGCACTGCGCACTACGCTAGTCAACGACTCAACGGTCAACGGTGCGCGGTGCACGGTGCACTCTGCGAGAGCGAACGCTTGCGTCACGTGGGGCAATTCGGACGCGCGCGATTGGCTGAGCGCGTGCGCGGCTCAGGGTCGGCTAAATCGCTGTCGACACTTGAGTTTCTAAAAATTCATTGCCAGCGCTGAAAATCTATAGTATACGTTACGTGCACTATAGACTTCCAGCGCTGGAAATCTATAGTACACGTAACGTATATTATAGATTTTCAGCAATGAATTTAGAAACTCAGCCTTTGTTCGACAAATGCGCGGAAAACAGAATTTTGTATTCGTCAAAAAACTTCTGTTTTTATATGTAACATTGATTCCATTCGGAGTACAAAAAGAAACTGAACTGTGTCAACTTTCGCGACATTTGCGCTACAAAAATGTTATCCCGAAGCGACGCACTGAAGCAACGTACGTATATGCACAAAGAAATTTTCAGAAAATATTTAGAAAATATTTACAGGATGTATTAGAATTTTCTTTTCTCAATTGAATCACACAAATGGAATAAAACGTTGGTTTACGCGCTCTTGTGTAAGGTAATGTTTGAAAAAATAGTTAATATACTAATTATTATTAATAACGTATCAGGTCTTATTAGATAATTGCGAATCTAACTTTTGACAGATTTCATTTTAATTAGACTACTTCTTTAGAAACATTTTGCCGTGTAAAAAAAATAACTATGATAAATGTAATAAAGCTGAGCAGATTCGAGTACTACGTTAGTCAACGCTTAAATTATCTGTATTTTATGAATTTGTTTACTTTTTCGCTGTAATCAGTAACGGAAGCAATGCGATGAAATTTCATATATGACACAATTGTTTAGCAAGATTATTATTGCTATTTATATAACGTATTATTTACAACTGTAAACTTAGAATTGAACTGTGAGATAGGAGAGCGTTGATAATACAGCGTACTAATATACCAGCTTGTGCTATAAACGAAAAATAATTTTAAAAATAATATATAAAAATTTATTTTAGTACAGAAACTTTTCTATCAATGAGAAAATAATTTTATAATATATTTTTAAATACCATTCTATCAAAGCTACTCGTACAAAACTAACAATTCACAGAAATTATTTATCTTTGTAAAAAATATAAATAGAAAAATGAGGTTTAGCTTTTCTGCTCTATTTATTACAAACAGGTATTTATAGGTTTTTGTTTAAATTATTCTAATTTCTATTATTCTTCTCAGATTAGACTATATCTTGTTTCTTTTTTCAAATGTTCATAAAACTTTCATTCAGAAAAATGTATGTATGGATGCATGCGTGTATAAATATATGTGAGTGCCTACTGTGTATTGAATTCAGATTTATGGGTTTGTTAAGCCTAAATAACGGATCATTCCCACAGAACAGAAATCATTTATTTTTTTTTATTAGAAAAATATTAAGTACAGCCAGTAGGAGCAAGTCTATTTGGCACAATAATACATAGTTTCATTTTTTATATTACACCTACATACAGTCTTAATAAAATTTTACCCGTTATTAAAGTCAATAGTGACCTTGCCGCTAACAGGTATCATTTATTAGCCCCTGCCTATCAACTGGCGCCCTCTGCCGGTTTTAGAACACGCATGAGTAATGCAGATTATAATCGTTCGATGTTAAGGTGTTGGATAGAAAATACAAAAAAAAACCATCAGCTTTTGTAAACAAAACCAAGTACAAAATTCGTTTACTTCATTCGAGACAATATGGTACATACATTATTTTAACAAAACTTATAATATAAATTTCCAAGTCTTTTCAATTTTTACCTTTAAGGAACTGATAGACCACGCTGAAATCCTTGTCCGAGAATCCTTGAGCAATGATCGCTCTATAAATTTGATGCGCCAGAGAACCGAGGGGAATCGGAGTTTGCGTTCTGGTCGCGGCGGATTGCACCAATCCCAGGTCTTTGGCCATCAACGTTGTCCCGAAACCGCCCTACACGTGTGAACGTGTTATTAGCTTCACAATCATCACAGCTCCCATTAGACGTGCGCATAAAATCAATTACGAATAATGATATTCGAACAAATTCGATGAAACGACTACGTTTTGCTTATCCGGTCTTGAATAAATTGTAAGAGTTCTCTATAAATAAATTACGCGAGCTACATCAATTTTATAACCGAAAATGTTGGAATTTTACGACGTTTCTCTTTCTTAATTATCTCAATTTCTCCGATTGGAATTTTGCTTCTGGGAATCAGGGCGGCATAAAAAGAAAATCGGGTCACGCAGAAGACTTTCACATTCGATTACCTCATAGTTTTTCGAGCTGGGAACATTGGGCAAAATTCCTGGGACCGGATTGTAAAGATCGGAAGACCAGCATCTGCCTGTGCTGGAATTGACGATGTCCGCAAATATTTTGGCGTCCAAGCCTAACCTGAAATATAATAACGCATTCTATAAAACTACCGACTGTAGCGTTGAAGACCACAATCACGAGCGCATATGCACACCGCTGGTGCTCTCACTTTTGCCCAAGGTTGAATGCCTCCGCAGTGCCAATCATACTAATGGCTAATAACATATTATTACAGAGCTTAGCGGCCTGTCCCATGCCTACGTCTCCGCAGTGCACTATTCTAGATCCCAGAGCTTCGAGGATAGATTTCGCATCGTTAAAGTCTGTCTCCGAGCCGCCCACCATGAATGTTAATGTGCCATCCTTGGCTGCGTTTACACCTGCGAAATCGACGCGATTTAACATATGCAGTCATTTCTTATTTTAACAACGAGAAAAGGTAATGAGCGATGTAATAAACCAATAAATCAGTAAACCAAAAAGAAAACAATGAGGATGTTGTAATATGAAATAAGAATTATTATCTTCTGATAAAAAATTTACCGGAACGTTTCAAACAGCACAGAGTTTTTATCAGCCATAAAATAAATTCAATTAATTAATAAAGATAGAGGAAAAATTAGTTAAAAACTACTAGTAATAATAAATAAAAAGAATAAATACAAAGATAAATTAATATATTATAACTAAAAAAAAAAAAATAAAGAGCGAACTACATAAATTATAACAATTCTACAAAGGGCCACATTAAAGTTGAAAGCATTATACAATAAATTAATTTAATTTAAAAACTAGTCAACAAATAAAATTATTAAAACTTCTATGTGAGATCAAAAACGTAAAAAAAAAGAGAAAATAAACAATATACATATATAGTTCTTTGTTCTGAAGAGAGAACAAGTCTAGTTTAATGTGATAAAAAATATGAGGTTGTCAAAGGCGTGTTTTATTAATAATATAAGTGAGTCAATAATGTAAAGTCCGTTCTTTAGAAAGAGATGATTCTACGATTATTAATTTGATACGTAATAATCTTTAAAAAATGCTATCATAAGAAAGTAGACTAAAGAATAAAAACTTACAGGAACATGATAAAAACGAGAAACAGAGAGTAAGGTTACTTACTTTGTCACTATACTTTAGTCAACAATTCGTGCATACTTAATTTGTTTCTACATGGTAAATTCATATTTTTCTTTTCTTCATATATGCCACCTATAACGTATCTAAATGAATAAAAATACATACCTCCTGAAACGGGACTGTCGATAAATCTCAAATTCCGTTCTCGAGCCTGCGATGCGACCAACTGAGACACGGATGGGTCTATGGTACTGCTGTCGATCAGTAGAACATTGTTTTTCGCTGTACTAAAACCAAAATCAACGATAAATAAAGTAATCGCAAATTGCAATTTACACATTTAATTAACAGTGGGGTTTAAAATATGCTGGACTTCAAAATTGATTTTTACCTAAACACGCCGTTTTTGCCAGTGTATACATCAAGAACATGTTCATTCGAAGGTAACATCGAAATGACAACTTCAACTTCTTTTGACATTTCAGCCGCATCTGACGCACAACTTGCACCCGTTTCCACTAAATTCGTCACCGCGGATTTGTTCACGTCATATACAGTGAGCTTATATCCCTGCGACAATGCGAGAATGAATTTATTAATGAAAATCGTTTAATTGAAAAAGACAATAGTTCATCAAATGTTACTTCCAATTACCTTCTTCAGCAGATTTCTCGCCATATGACTGCCCATGTTGCCCAATCCAACGAATCCTATTTTTGAATAACATCTTGCTCCTAAATTGATGCCTTAAAACATGTTAAAAAGCATGTGTATCTTTTTCGCAAGAAGTAAGAAATTTATGTGTTAAAAAAAAAATATATATATACATATAATTGTAAGCCTTCGCTAATATCTAGTAATTTAAGCCGATTAGTTAAGAACGTTCACCGGTTAATCGATTTTCTATGCTTGAACTTTGGACCATAGTTCGTAACAGTGTTATCTATACACCTTTTCAATTGTAAGAACCGTGCCGGTACCAAAATCGAGATATTCAATGTCAAAGTTATGAATTTTAACACGTAAGGTATAGGCAAAGCGTGTTCTATATATATATATATATATATATATATATATATATAATATATCATGTAAATCATATTCTTATCATGATAGTAAGTAGATATCATTTTCATTAAAAATAACATTTTACGTCCATATACCATTATATTTAAGTCCTAACATATAATTATGAATATCGTAAACAATTTAACATCAAATTATCACGATTTATTTCCAACAGATCTCTAAATTTCAAAATCATAATTTAATCAATTTTTCGTCATGATTAAAATATGACTTTTGATAGTCATTATGACATCATTTTCACGTTATCTTGACTTCTAAATGACTTTTTGTTCTGCCTGGCTGGTCAACTTTTATATATGATATATAGATTACAAAAAAACTATACGGTCAATATTGCTCAACTTTTGGGATTATTTGTGTAAAGTGTTTATGTAAATCATATAAAAAAATCAAAACTCTAAGTTGACTTTCGACTAATAGGCGAACCTTCTTAAGCACTCTAATTTCGAAGTTCTGTACATAAAATACATCAAAATCCGTCAAAATGACGAGTTTAATAATTTTATAGTTCATCATAATTCAATTACAAAAAATATACAACAATAAAACATTCTTTTATATCAAAATATTCGGTAAGTATTTCTTTGAAGAACTTTCTGTGTTCTACGTAAGAATAATTTTTATCTTATTTACACTTTTTTAATATTCACGCTTTGTCTTATTCATACTAATAACTGCATACTCTATCAGTTTTTCAAGTAAACTAAATGATATAGTATAGTGTGGTACGGTACGTCGATAACAATTGATGAGAAAAACAATTGAATGAGAAAAATAGCATTTTCATTATCCACTATCATTATATCTAAAATTTATACTATATAAGCGCCTGTTGTGTTAGTAAAAAGGTTTCTTCTTTAGTGCAAAATAATTTTGTAGATCTAACGTCTAATTAAATTCTTATTTTGGCTAACAGTTTATCAAATATAATACTAATTCGAAAATATTGTTATTGCAAAATATATTTATATGTTTTTTTTTATATAATAGAATTGAATAACTATGAAAAAGGTTCTTATTAAAATATTAAATATCTTCGTAAATAAATAAATAAATGTCTTTGTAACTAAAAGCTATGTTTGTTAATTAATTATTTAAATATTAAAGAAGTTAAAAATAATAACAAATAAAGTGTCCGTTTTCAAATTGACGAATGTGGTAAAATTAGGTATACATCCAACGCTGGTTATTCTAGTTTTAAATAAACGAAAATATTACCTGCTGTCGTGCTAGCAAACAAGTTCGTAAGCGTCAAAACGCTCATTCTTAGTACTTGTAAAAGTGATGAATCATAAATATCAGCAAATAATTCACTTTTTGACCAACAGAAATAATGCTGACTTTTGTGCTGATCAAGTTAAATATATCGCGCCAATAAAAACTCGTTTCGACAAGACACGTATCAGCTGCTCGTTATCATACGTCTAACAATAAGTGTTAATTAGCGAAAGAAGTATGAAGAAAGTAAATTTTTGGCGAGAGACAAGAGAAACTTATGTTAGGTTGTAAAAGAACACTGCCGATGGCATAGAAAACGCGACAGCAGCGACGTCTCATTTATGATTAAGCATGAAAACACATTACGTAACTTGATAAGAATTGATAATGAACAATGCTTCGATGGCGGGTGATTCGAATGGATTTCGCAGTTTGTTCATCATTATATAATAATTCTTTTGACGTAGAACTACGTATTTGTCGACAGTAAGGGGAGGGGGTAAATCCAGGCACAGATGTAACGAAAACATGTCACACTTTGAATGTTTATATCTTCGCGAAACTAATAATCGTAGAGTAATAAATAATGTCATTCGATAGCTTATAGAGTCCCATTTTTTCTCTAAAGTCTCCAAAAGGGGTTACCAATTTCTATCTTAACAAATCTCTATGATTGCTCTAATTTTCGTAAATTTTTGTTAAGAAGATGAATTGCTCCATTTTCTGTCCTCAAAAGAAATTAATAATCATAATATATTTTTTGCATCGATTACTTTAAAATAAGAATTATAATTATAGAAATAATATTTAAAAAAAATCTATTTTTTACATCTATTAGTACGAACTGGTAATTATTTGAAGCTCGTGAAATTTCCTGCTGACCCTAACACCCTCGTGTTTTTTTTTTTTGCAAATCATTAGGTCACGGCCACCAGTCGGTAGAGACCATTTGATCGTATAACGATTAGGGACACACGCGATAACGAGTTATTAATATTCCTGCCAGTATGTCATTGTTATTTATGTTGATGAGCATAGACATGTCAAGATACGTAATAATCGTTATTATTGTCACGTCATTTCTATTGAGCCGCTTTTCTTCTTTAGAAATATCTGTTAAATATAAATGCAATCTTGCGTGTTTTATCTTTTATTGTTAATGAACGGCTGTTCTACGACAAACTGGGGAATTGTTAACATTGTTTTATAGTTCCCTTCTTTTTACTACCTATAAAAATAAGACGACATCAAACGCATTCCTTTTTAATAAAGCACTATGAGAATAAAAACGTGTTGATCTTAAAAAATTCTGATATTATATGCAAATTGCAGCATTTAATAATAATTAAATGCAAATCTGTTTCATTAAATGCAGATATGCTGTTTCATTATACCGTTTATATAAGATTCTTAATTACTTCTATCTGTAGATCGCGGTAGTACCAAGGACACCTCGCAACAGCTTGTTAGACAACTTCTAACTTGTCGAGATAACAATAACGAATGCCACACCACGTGTTTAGTTTCATTATTGCTGTCACGAAGTATGTTATGGTTCAATTTTTTATGAATCACCAATTAAGCAACGTACGTGGGAGATAATTGCGCGTACGTTATTTTTTATTCGTCGAGTAATTACACCATATGTCAACCATGTTGGTCGTAGCTGTTTATTCAGGGTACGCTATCGATGTAGTTATCTGCTGTCAAATTGCACCTCGAGTGCCTCACTGTACACGAAGGGCTACTGTGCTGCACATATGAGCGTGCTCGTACAGACACGTTTACACCGTTCTTATGTGCAACTCCATTTGGATAACTCACCAAGTCGACTCTCATTCCCATGTTAAACATACTCGTGTGTTACGTACTAATTGCTAAGTGTAATAATCTAAGAAAAAACGAATTTCTCCGAGAAATTTGCTGTGGCAGATAACGATAATTATCGAGCAAGTCGACTTGCTTTGACAGATAATATTAATTAATTTAATTATAATTAAGTGTGTTTATATATAAATCAATATTAGATTAGTGTTAAGTCGTTAATAACACTACTCGACATTCCAGCATGTATGAACAATAATTCTTATACAAGCCTCATTTAAATAGGCTCTTATATAGTACATCAAATTGCGTGATAAGTCTAAGCACACAATTCTGAAAAATATTAAATATGCAATGCGAGAACAGATATTAATGGAAATTTAAAATTACATATGCACGCATACATAGAATAATCATTACAAGATAGTTGATATTTTTAATTTCTGAACACGCGTGTAGCTTTTCGACTTATATATCACTCTTAGGAATAAAAGTTACCTGCATAAAGATTACATTAAATTATAACAATTGATAATGGTTCATCATGAAAGTGAGTTCAATGTTCGGTGTTTTATCACTCATCGTTATTCCGGTGTTAACTGATAAGAGAAATATTATCAAGACTTCCAAAGCGGAATCCTGGATCTCAACGGAAAATTTTACGACAATGGTCAAGAAATCGTTTCTTTACTCTAAATGTTGTAATGTTTTTTTAAGTGGTTCGTATGCGCGCACCTACTTTATTTCGAAGTAACAATGCGCTGCCTATAAAGTAAAGTAACTTTTCTTTTAGAATCGATCTACGATGTGGAAGTATTATTTAATCAATTTATCAATGTTTATCCACATGAATATCTTCTACATAGAATAATCTATGATTGTCAAGGATACTTTTTGCTGGGACCGACGGATAAAGAAATTGAAAAAGCTATGCGAGTGTAAACCAAAACAATAATATCTAAATTTTTAAATAATAATAATACTAGAGAATAATACTATTAAAATTTAAAAAGAAAAAGGCCAATGATCAAGCATTAGTAGATGTTAAATCATATAATTAATTAACATATGTACAAAGAACAGAACGTTTCGACTTCACCGAGTTTTCTTCAGCCGTACACTGAGAAAAAAAATCGTAGATTTAAAGAAATATTATTTGATTCAACTAAATGCAGCGGTCACGGGCTGTTAAGCTAACATTTGTTAATTCAAAAAATATTATATTTAAATAGATTCAGAATTTCTTGATATTACTCACGTATATTTGATTTAAATATATTAATATTTGCATTAAAAAAATCACTACAACTAAACGAGTTTAGTCAAATTTACAACATTTTTTTTCTCAGTGTAGTATAAAATATCATAGGTTAACATAAATTGTGTATAAGTATATTCGTAGTTACAAACATATAAAATTCTTAAACCTATAGAGCCACATCACCGTTCGAAAGCCTGACGAATACATATTGAGTTTTTGTTGTTACATCTACGAAGTTAAAGCCGAAGATAAAACGTAGTTAGCCTTCGAACGAGGAATTAATTATGTACTTTCGCTGACTACATTTTATCTCCGGCTTTGACTTCGTAGATGTAACGACAAAAACTCAGTATGTATTCGTCAGGCTCTCGAACGGTGATGTGGCTCTATAGGTTTAAGAATTTTATATTTTTGTAACTATATACGAATACCTATACACAATTTATGTTAACCTATGATATTTTATACTACGGCTGAAGAAGACTCGGTGAAGTCGAAACGTTCCGTTCTTTGTACATATGTTAATTAATTATATGGTTTAACATCAACTAATACTCGATCATTGGCCTTTTTCTTTTTAATTTTTATATTCATACGAGCGTGGTTATTATTTTTATTTTTATTTTTAATACTATTAAATTAATAATACAATATATAAAATATAGAATGTGAATAAAAGATAAATATGAAATGTGTGTAATAGACAATTTTATTTAATTATAACTATATTATTTTAAAATTAATGTAAGTATATATATCTTTCGGCAGAGTACCTTCTTCCATCTCAACGACAGAGATTCTTGTTATCATCAATGGCGAATTGAAAAATACTTCGAAACTTTTTAATGTATCTTTATACGGAAATTCCAATGCAAATATTGTATCGAGATCTGGAATTTGGACCTTATCAGAAAACTATTTGTCTCCCAGATTTTTTCTAAAAGTAAATAGGTATGCAATTTTTGTAACTTATTTTCACATATTTACATTCCTCATAATAAATTATACATATAAACATCAACTTAAAATATTCTGCATTTTTTATATCGATGAAATGTTATATAAGCAAAAACATATATTATATTATATGTATATGTTGAATGGCGTAAATTATAGTTACGAGGATCTGATGTCTGAATTCAACACGGTTAATATGAGAGGTAGAGAACTGCGAGTATGTACTTTTTATCAGCCACCTTTTTCCTATCTCAAGAAAACAACCAAGAAAATAATTAACGGCGTCGAAGAAGAGGTTTTTCTAGCAGATAATGGTGAATAAAATTATTTAAACTTATAATTAATTTCACCTTTGTTAATTAATGCTAATCTCTGAGATATCAATTAATTGCCAGTTAATTTGGAAAAAAGTAAAGCAATAACGTGTTTATATATCTTCTAGATAAAGAAAAGGATGGAATAGAAGTGAAATTGTTTCTGGTCATAGCGGAGAAATTGAATTTTACTTGGACAATACAAAAGCTAGATGGAAATTACCGGTAACTCTGAGTATTCCAGTTTTTTTTCATTATGTTAATGCATGTCAAATATTAATTTTATAAATAAACTAATTTTTAGATACGGTCGACGCAATGGTACAGAATGGAGTGGTGGTGTCATTCAACTTATACGAGAGAAAAGGGTATAATTACTTAAATTAAAGTTCTCTAAATTCTAATAAACTAATAATTTATTTTTATCGCGTAATTAATAACAAATTTGCAGTAACATTATCGAGTTATATTGAACTTATAAGAGCTATAACAATATTTTATTCAAGTCTATAATTATGCTACTTAAAATTTGCTTCTAATATATTTTAAATATCTTTCGTGTTTTAAATATAGAAGAGAATGTATTCCAAGTATCAGGATTTTTCTACCGAAAAATACTTAAATATTGGATTCTTTTAAATTCAATTAAAATGTAACAAAACAATTTAAAATAATTTTTGATCTCATACGAAGGTTGATCTAGCATTCGGAAGTATCTGGTTAACGCAGAGTCACAACGAGTTCGTGAATATGACTACACCATGGATTCAGATGTTTATACATTTTTTGGTACCGCGACCACAACCGATCACCAATTTCTGGGCGCTCACGAGACCTTTCTCGGTGAATTGTTGGATACTTGTGATAATCATGTTGTTTGTTGAGAGCATATATATGTATACACGTGCTAGGATCGATCCAAAATTTCCGAAACGTAAGTTAAAAATGTAGGGCACATGGAGGAAAAATAAAAAAACGTTTTTTTTAATATAAATCTTATATAAACTTTTCTTATATAAATTGAACCCAAGCTATCGACTGAATACTTGATCCGTTCAGTCGTTATTGAAATTTCAAAATCTCAGGTAAAAATCTCGCAACTCTCGTAGGTACTCTTGCGTAAAGATACACGGGGCGGTCCCGCGCTGCGAGTGTACTTGGCGCGAGACACTGCCGTGTCTCTATTGATACATTGCATATAATATGTAATTGGATCTTTTTCTTTTTTATAAATGCATTCTACTTTCTAAATGTGTGCTATTTTATCAAACAATCAGAATTGCTATTTTTCAACTGCTTCGTGCATAGATTTAAGATAAAAAGTAATATGGCTCTTATCATATGCTTGTATGTTAATGATATAAAAAATTATGTACTTTACTCAAACAGTTTTTTCCTAGCTTTGTTTTCTATCTCTTCTTTATTTTATAAAAACAATAATAAGACAATAATAAACTTCCAACTTTAGTTGTACACTGTGATATAATAATATCATAGAAAATATATGATATGTGAAAGACAAAAAATGTTAGATATAATATATTCTCTTAGGTTTTCGAAGCATTTTCTACACGATTACGGAACTAATCGGTCGTTTAGTGGGCACATGGATGCCCCAAAATACCGCTAATGCTAGATTCGAGTTGCATTTATGGCAAACTACAGGATTCCTGCTGATAACCGCCTACTGCAGCAGTCTTGCAGCAAGACTCACGAGTTCAGAATATGAGGACAGGTAACGATAATATATGTGTTATCCTTAAATTTAATTATTTCTAATTTAATTAATTTAAGTAAAAAATTATTTGTCACTAACTTAACTTTTTCTTTGTTATAGTTGGCGTTTTTTTTTAATCCTTCGTGGTCACTATAGGGATCAGCATGACCCCATAAATTTTTCAAAGCAGAATTACACTAACGATATTACACTTACTTTGCGATTTTTTTTCAATGTGTTAATATTAAATAATTAACAAAATTAATATTGCGGCAGGTTTTACAACATTTCAAGAAGGTTCAGTAATTTTTTTAAATCAAAATAATGAAAACTGTAAATACGGCAGCTGATTAAAGTCGCTGGGGTCGTTTTGACGGTGTGGACCATTATGAAACTGTAGATAAGTGTGACCACGAAGGGTTAAACTGTAGAATTATTATTAAGGGGTATGCTCTTTTTTATTTATATAAAATTATATATTTAATTCAAGTAATTTTTTAAATTGATTGTGACTGGCAATGTATAACGTCTTTTCGATATGAACATTGAAAAACTGTGAGCCAACTTGGTTTGTCAGATTCACACAGCACTTTTTCGAATCAATCATCGAGACATTATTAATTTCGACCATGGGTTTCGGTCAGTTGATGTAATTTCGAAATTAAATAGCTGGGGTAATATTTTTCGCAATAAAAATTTAAAACTATTTAATTTAGAAATTACATCAACTGACCAAAACCCATGGTCGAAATTAACCCTCACAAGTCACACTTACGCCACAGCGCATTGGGGTCACACTGGGTCTTTTTTACCCGAGCGATTTTGAAACGCTTGTAACTTCAAGTCTAAGCAAGCTTTTGGGACGTGTTTTTTTTTTAAATTCATCGCCAGATTCTCAGAAATACGACTGTTTAGTTTGTTTTGCTCTAAATTTTATCCCTTTTTTTGTATTTTAAAAAATATGAAAACATTTTTTTTTAAAACTGATTTTTTTTCAAACTGTTGTTTCTCCTTTAAAAATTAAAAAAAATAAACTTTATAGGTGGTCATTTTAAAGCTGAAGACATGTACTTTAAGGTTGTATAAGCCATTTTTAAAAAAATTTTTAATTAAACAATTTTTTTTTCAATTGAAAATCGGTACTTTTTAAAACGTATTTTTCGTGCATGTACGTTTGTTTTTGTCAATAAAATTGAAGAAAAATTATAAAAATCATTATTTAAACTTTTTTTATCATCAAATAATGATTATTTAAAAAGAAAAAAAGTATGTGTAAAGTATTGGGTGTACAAGTGATTAAGAAAAAATTTATTTTCAAAATTTTTATTGAATTTAATTTTTATTAAAAATTAAATTTTTATTCAAAATTTTTATTGAATTTTTATTGAATTTTTTTATTTTTATTTTTTGCTATGCGTCTCACGCGCGCACGTGTCTCCATATTGCTGGAAAACAATCACATTTACATTATAAATACTCCAATTATAAAAAAAAAAACATTACACGTATACAAAAACACTTTAATTCACTTCAAATAAAATGTGTTCACTTCAAATAAACCTGTATTTTGGATTTATTATAATGACGAAATTGAGACACTGAAGTCACACTGGGTCTTTTTTACCCGACAGGAGATTTCGGACGCTTCCTGCTCAACAGGCAAACCAGCACTGGAGCGACACTTGTGGGCCTTTATTTCAACTACCAAAAAGCGATTTTTCCAGCTACTAACCAACTTTCCCCCCCTCCCCTATTTGGAGATATACGCATGTGTTGAGTTGGCGTCGGGTAAAATCGACCCAGTGTGACTTGTGAGGGTTAATAATGTCTCGATGATTGATCCGAAAAAGTGCTGTGTAAATCTGACAAACCAAGTTGGCTCACAGTTTTTCAATGTTCATATCGAAAAGACGTTATATATTGCCAGTCACGGTCGATTTAAAAATATTACTTGAATTGTTATTCTATACTGGCAAAGAAATTTATTATTCTGTTTATATATTTAAATTTGTGTACAAAAATTTCTATAAAATCGTATATTATTATTCACCCATTTGTATCTATGTAAAATATAAAGATATTGATCGCGCATTTTTTATAGGATCGATACGGTACGTCAATTTCTCGAGGCTAACTTATCGTGGGGTCATATGGGACCAGTTCCATTTTGGCCCGAGTATTTTGATATGGAAGTACGTAAAATTTATGCTTGTGCAACGGGCATTTTTTCTACTACGATTTTTCTAATACGATAAACATATATGTATATCTTCAGGATCCTTACACGAGCCAATTGTCTACAAAATATATCCCCGTGTACGGTCAAGAGGCATACGCACATACATTAATCAAAAAGGGTAAATTCGCAATTTTTGGGAAAGTCATAGACTCGATATTTTTTCCAGAGGATGAAATCTTCAATGAGGAGATTAAAGTAAGATGCAAGAATGCGTCTATTAAAAATATTGTAAATAGCTAAAATGAACTATAAACTGTGTTTGTAAGGACTACAGACTCATGAGAGAACAAGTGGGCAATTATTATTCATCCTTTGCGGTTCAATCGTGGCTGTTGCGACCTGTTGACACGGTAATGCGACAATCGCGCAATCAGACCTTCTCAGTCGTAAAGTATCATAAAGATATAATCCTTAGAGCTATAAATTCGCAATTTTTTGTCTATAAGAACTCTCAAGATATTACTTGGTTCAAGATTTGTTGGTAACAGAAATAAATGTTTAATTAATTAGATAAACTGTCACATTAAAAGCTTGTAAAACATATGTTATTTCAGATTAATTTTCTTCAGATAAGTAGACTCGCATTTTTTTTAGTAATTTAGAAGTTACAATCAATTAAACATACAAAAAGACAATATATTGATCGTTATAAGGCTAATATATTGATCGCTGTACAAAGTTATGACTTAATTTGAGCTCTCTTTAGTAATAAATAAATTATATACATACATATATTTGACATAGCAAACATTGATTAAATGAACAGTGATAGCTATAGAATGTAAATTTAAACGGACAAGTCCAAAAGAACTCGAATTGAGCTGAAATGTTTAATCATACATTAATTAATAACTTCGTCTGCATATTGTGGTCTATATACACGTCTTATTCTTTTTATACATTTAATTGAGTTCATAAAAATATATGTGATTAATGTTAACAATTAGACAATAATTAATCTAATTACTGTAAATATTACTGTAAAGCTATATGCGAATAGTAATGGTAAGTTATCAAAAGTACAAAGATTGTTATTTATTTTATCTGAATAAATTTATTTAAAAAACTGACTGTATTGACGTGATATCAGCGACAAAAATCCTGTCTGTACTCTAAAATTTTCTTTATTCTTTAGATAACGCTATGGTTGAAGGAATCAGGCATCGCTCACTTTCATCTCAACGACGTTATTCATCGAAGAGCCAGTTTTAATCTTCGGGAAGTCGTCGAGGAGTACGATGGTCTTAATGGAAACTTCATAGCCCTTGGATTGACACCGTTAGGCGCCGGATTTACAACGCTCGTCGTTGGCCTTCTAGCGTCTACAATGGTATTTGTGTATGAGTTGAAACGAGCCGCTGATTCGCGACCGATTCGCGAGGTGTTTCGAGATATTCAAAAGAAACGAGAAATATACAAGTTATCGGCTTATAAAAAAAGATATTGCAACGTAGCTGAATTAATGAATCACACACATACACACAATTCATCAAGTGATGATTTTATTCGTAATTAAGTCTGTTAGTCATACAGCAAGGTCAACAGGAACTGAATTTGCGCGAAAATAATGACAAGATTTCTCATAATAAGTAGACACATGTAAAATATTATTTATTTTTTTATTTCGTAGGGTATTCAATTAGCACTAAATATATATATACAATGTTTATAAAAAAAAATTTTTTTCAGAATTTTTTAAGCACATTAACATTATATTTAATAAGGCACACGAAGGACCCATAAATTCAGTTTATAATTGACGAAAAGCAACACTTCGTTTTGAGGGTTAAATTTGAATAAAGTGCTAAATAAAATTTATAATAACGCAACAAACTTCACGTTGAAATTTAACCCCGATAACCAAGCGTGCTAGCACGACAGCGCACGCTGTGCTCAGCATGTCATGCAAAAACTATGCTGTCTCTGTGTCACTTTTATATCGATAAGCAGACAGTGCTAGCACGGTGCTAGCACGGTGCTAGCACGATGAGTATTGTTTGTTATATCTTATGCACGATGCCGAAAATTTTGACCTACAAAATGCTATCATGCAATGTGCCGTCACTGTGCTCGTCAGGTACGGCAGTATCTGATGTACATCACATGACAGCATGCCATTGTACGCGTGCGTGCATTATGCGGCTAATATTTGGTTATCTGGGTAAGATACTATAATGACTCAAGAGATAAAAGTATTTCATCTGTACAATGTGTTTACGCATTGCAGTTGTGTTTTATAAATTCATTGAGATAAAGTAACCGAACATATTCGACCTTAAACATTTTATAATACACGTTCAACAATGTTATTATGCTGTAAATAAAAAGAAATTATTTTTAATACTCTTGTTAACATTTGCTAGCAATTTTATTAAACTACTTTCTTAATTTTATTAACTTTATTTGCTCCGTGATGTAAATGGAAACAAAATCTCTCAATTTAAATATTGACAATGAAAAAGTAATTCAATATTTTATAAAATAAATGAATTATATATACATATGTATATCTCTTTTATTTTATAAGATAAAATTAATGTAATTAACAATGTATTTGTATGTATGTACATGTGTGTAGTAGAAGCCATTACTTTTCAGATTTAAAGTCATAAATCATAAAATTTTTAGATCCACTTAATTTGTTCTCACTCACAATTATCAACGTAAAAAAAAGTCCATAATATAATCTCTTTCTGAGAAAGATGCGTGATATCTTTTAGAAGTACACTGACGTAAAATGTTATCAATATGTACATGATAAATTATACACGCGATTTCTAGAATTTTCTAGAATTTATGATTATTTATTTCAACGATTTATCTAACAATAAGATTAATATAAAAATATATTTTATGTTCCCTTAATAGAGAGCATGTAACTTGTGTATTAATCTATAAAATTTTTTTTATTGTGCCTGAAAAGGCGTTTTAAGATTTTCAATTAATTTTATTTACGGCTAATTTTCATTAGGCTCCTGTATAAGAAAAATTTATTTTTTACAAAACTGCATATGTAATTTTTTATTCGAGCAATTAATTAGTTTTTGTATGCACTACGCGACTATTTGACATTGCGTGTAATTACGTAAAGGTCTAAAGGTTAAACTCATCACTGTGCCGAAGCACTACAGTGCTTCTTTCAATCATTCATCTTTTGAAGAGATAGATTTCTCCCACTTAGTGTTCTGATATACTATTATAGAATCGACGAAAAATAAAGATTCAATGCTATTCATACTATCGCTATCGATAGTATAGTCGAATAATTATGTACATGGCACAATAATTATAACATGGCAATTTTTTATATAAATTTTGTAAAAAAACTATTTTTTTTAATTGACTGTTGATTTATTATTGGATAGATTTTTTTTTATGTTTTGTTCTTTTTTCTTTTTTGTTTCCAGAATACGTACACAAAACACACCAGTTTTTTCTAATTTATGATGTTAACTTGATCAATGTAGAATGTGAGTGAGGTGTTTCAGAGATATACTTGAAAAATGTGACCAGGACACATAACCAAAGTATTTTGTGACTTGTGACTGACTCATTTCGGTGACGTTTACGTTCTTTCTTAAACAAAAGAAGGAAAATCGTTCTGCGATAATCACTTTAGAAGACAAAACATTTTGATGATAGGCTTAACAATATTTCTAGAATTGACGTTTGAGCCTGTTATCAATATTTACCCAGTAACGGTAAAAACCATTATTCTCATGTTTACGTCACAAAAATGTACTGATTTGTGAACTCAATAAATCTTGTATCATGGAAAGTAACTCGCAATATCGTTGCTGAGCTCGCGGATGGAACTACATGTGTAGCAGTATCAGTCTTTTATCTTTATTAATCGCAACAAGTCGCCTTTTCACAGTATTGCAATATCGTGCACACTTATTCCGTTTGGCATTTTAAAAGAAAAAATTCTTTCATCTATTGCAACGACAGTAAAAATAATATTATTGTTGTGATTAGTGTTTCTCACTTAAACAGACGAAGCGAGATGGAGAGAAGACATATCGACGATAGTAAGTATCTACTAAAATATTAAAAAAAATTACCATAATTGTTATTAATTGTCGTTAATATTAAAAATGTAGATTTAAATTACAAGGTAAATTCTGAAAGAATGTACAGAACATAATGGAAAATTATGTAACTTCAACTAAATTGTATCGAGTTTAGTATATATCGGAGTATTATATATACGTTTAATAAAAATAATGTACACAGTGTGTTATACTCGCGCCAAATTAAATAAATAACTAAAGAAGTAAACAATTAAAATATATTATTGAACAACATAAATTATAAAATTACACAAGTAAATTATTTAAAGTCAAACATTTGCACATCAACATATTACAGTTCAAATGCCGACAGTAGATGAACATTTTAAACTACTGTTAGAGGATGATAGTATAATCGAACCAAAATTCACCAATACAACGCCCGACGATCTTCCAAATTGGTATGATGAAGAATTATTCAAAGAGTAAGTATTCATGTGATGTGTGATAAAATCATGATATATCATGTGATGTGTGATTGAAACTGCAAAGTATAATCATTAATATTCTAATATTAACAATGTAATTCACGATATAAATTGAAAATTCTTTGCACTAAACGTGTAAGAGAAAAAATAATTAACTGGTGATAATAAATATATGAAACTATTATTTAATCTTAATGTTACATTATACCTAATACATTATAATGTACATTCAATCTTACAATTAATGTCACATTTTTGTGACATTAGAACTGTGAACATTATAATAATATCTAAATAATATTGATTTTTGGAAAATTCTAATATATTCTACAAATTTCTATAAACTGTTTTTAGCAATAATTGCATTAACAATACGTTACAGGCAGTAACGTTTTAATAACATTTATGTTACATTTGCAAGAATTAAATATTTTTATTTTAGAGCTCAAAACTATTATAAACGAAATATGATGTCAATGGTACTAGCTAGCTTTGCCGGACTTCTTGCGATAATAGCAGTCCCGGAAACATTAAGGGTAATAAAATTCTCTATTTTTTATAATGAAATTGTTTTTACAAACACGAGATACTGTACATGTGTATATACATATATGTTGAAATAGTTGTAAATAATTGTTCTCGTATAATATAAAAGATCTTTCACACTTTCATGCTTTTCAATCATATTATAATAATTCTAAAATTATGATGGGATATTATACCATGGAATATCTTGATCATTTTTTATCAGAAAATAAAATTTATTGTTTTGAAAAAATTAATAAGTTATTGTTTATCAAATGAACAATTAAAAATGTTTTATGTGATTTCTTAATAGGTGCTCATATACACTAATAAAAGCAGTATACCTTGCGTGACTTTTAGTAGGTATACGCAAACTCTGTTGCACATATACAAGCTATATACAAGTGATCCAAACGACCCGGACTCCGAGTAAGTTTTATCATAGTGCAATCTTTTATATATATTTCAGTTTTTACTAAATCTTATTATTCAAGATATTTATTATTATTTTTAATTATTATTATAATCTTTGGCTATATATAGCACTTAAGTAATAACAAAAATAAAAAGTTACAGTAACAAAAAATGTTGCGATTTTACAATATACTTAGATACTTTTGAAAAAATCTACTACTACTATTGGGTTACTATATTGGGTCTGTGAGACCCACAATAATAGTGTTTTGATGTTTCTCACAACCACGATCGCGAGTTCGAGAGGGAATAAAGTTTTAACTTTCTTGAAGTAGTTAACTACTATCGCACATAAATAGCCACTTCAGGAAAGTTGAAACTTTATCCCCTCTTCACATAGGAAAAAAAGAACTTGCTATTGTCTGAATGCTAAAATCTGAAAGTTTTTATCTCGGGTCTCCTGAACCTATTAGTAACCTAAATAACCTAGGATTAAAGTTCCGATCTTGCTGTTCCTTGAAACTAAATTCTTCAGAGAGAGCTCGAATATTTTTTACTTTTTATCAATTTACATCTGTAATGTTTACAAGAAGCTCTTTTTCCGCCATTTTTCTATATCTAGCCTTCTGTAATCATATAATTATCGAAATATATTCTATTTCTTATTTTTATCTTTATATCCAATTTTGGAATATTAAAATTCCTATTAATTGTAAGAAAATATTTATTTACAATAATTCTTTAATTTTTATATTTTGCTAGCATGTACAAGACAATAAATGTAATTCACCGAAAACACAAGATGAGTAGTAAAAGATCAGAGAAAGCAGGTGTTGGAGGGATTTATCAACGAGATATGGCAATCACACAGTTTGCTTTCATAGGATATGTATTAATCGCTCCAAAATCTATCGGCTTGTGCAATAAGCCGCAAGAAGAAGAAGCACTTAATCATTTCTGGCGTGTAATAGGTCACATGTTACAAATTCCCGATCGGTAATGTATAGTTTTTAGTATAATTAATAAAATTAGTGGATATATATTATTCGATAATTTTTCACTGGTTTTATTAAGTATTTGTCATTATTTACAGACTAAATCTGTGTCGCAAAACCGCAGCAGAAACTCGCGAATTGTGTCAAAAAGTATCTGATATTTTGACAGAATATTTGTATAATGCTCCACCTGAATTTTATCAGATGGCATTAGCCATATTAGATGGATTATGGTATATGGATATAACTTTAGACAAACATGCTTTTCTAAAATTTACCTATCGGTTGCATGGTATAGAATGTGAGTACTCAACTGTAATTTTTATAATTAACTTTTTACATAAATTTATTTAATATATGTTAAACGCATATATAAACTAACACATGTGTTATATGCTCTAAATCTAAATTAATACGCGACGAGCATGTGTGTTTGTGTCGATTATAGTAAAGTTTCAGAATAACATCATTTTAAAAGTATAAAAATATATATTTGTATGTTAAAATGTCTCTTTCATCTTTAGTGCACTTTGTTATTTTTACCTCCTTTTTTTCTGCTTAAATAAGTTTATTTTTTAGAAGATACGAAAAAGTTATAACTATTTTTACAATATTTGCTTTAATTTTCCAGCAAACAAACACGTTTTTTTTTTTAATGCAAAAAAGAAACAAAAAGTTATATTTACGAAAGTAGATTTTTCTAATTTTCACAAAATTTTTCTTTATATTTTATCAGCCTATTAAAATCCTAATGACAATTACACCTTCCTATTCTATACATATTTAGCTTTTTATTAAGGTAAATGTACCAATAAATAAGAAATCATTGCTTTATGAGAAATTACAGTAAATTTGAGAAGATTGAAGTTTTCTTAGTCAATTGCAACTGTATAAAATGATCGATTATATAGAATTGAGCGTAGACTAAAGATCAATTCCAAAAGGTATGTTTGTCCCTGTATACATACATAACCAATGAAAAATGACTGTCTTAGCGTCCGAATTTAAATGTCCTAGTACTTGGCTAATACTTGGAAATAGTTTTTTCTAATCTATATAAAATTTTTATTTTAAAATAATAATGGTTTAACTAAAAATGTTGAATTTTTGCATCATACTTGTGATATACCAGTGTGATATACATGTGATTAACCAGTTAAGGTCTCATCGACCTTAACTGGTTATTTATTGGTACATTTATCTTACTTACAATCTTGCATTGAAAAAACTTACAGAAATAGAAACTTCGATTGTGGTTATCCACTCGAACGAACGAGCAAGCACGTGTGCCCGATAATTGGCCAGTTAGTTACTTATTGGTCGAGTGAGTTTTTCATGTGCCGATATGTATAAGCCAAGCAAATTCTTGTTCAAAAATACAATTAATTATAGTATAATTTTACATTGTTCTAAATGTTCTTATAAGATTTTAGAAATGCTTCATACACCTAGGGAAAACAAATATTAATTTCACAAATCTCAGCCCATCCCTGACGGAGAGAATTCAAACAATATTTTGAATAGCTTAAACTAAATAATCTATTGACATAATTTAAAATATACAAAACTAAATAACTACATAAAATAAAAAATTTGAAATTCTGTTCGTACTTATATGGCATACAAAACTTATTAAAAATTCATATTTGCATGGCATTAATAGTTAGGTACTGGGACATGGTTACTCATTGGTACATTTACCTTACTTTTTGAATTTTGTTTCTTTAGAAACTATACTCAAAGTCACATAGGATATGATATATAATGTACCATTTATGTTTCAATTTAAAAGTGTACCGTTCTAGGGTTAAATTATGCAAATAGCTCAATAACAATATAAAAAGTACGTTATTTAACTTATGAGAATACTATTTTATTTAATCATATTCGTATACAATGTTCACTATATATACTTTACTCAATGTTTATTTTATTCTAAAATTTAATTTTTAAATCGCAACAGAAAAAAAGCGTTAAATTATTGCAATATTTATTTAAAAATGTACGCTTTTAATTTAAATTACTAATAGATAATTTTGCTTTATGAATAATCATTGCTTGAAAAGTATTAGGTACTTCACAGGAAAAATATTCAAAATATATTCAATAAAAAAATCATTTATATTTCAGATAATAAGCCAATTGGATGGTACAGTTGGTTAAATGCAAAATACCGTGATTTGATACTTCAACTTTGCCGTAAGTATTACATAGATTTGTGCCGTATTTTATAATATTATTTGCTATAATATTAATGCTAATATGCTCTCCTTTTGGTTTCAGTTGTACCCTATGTCGGAGCAGTAGTAAAAATTTATTATAAATATGTACTTCTGTTGACATTGTGGCTTGTAAAGAAATGGCCTGTATTAGCATGGTTGTCACTCGGAAAACAAAATTCTCACATCATATTATATTAAAAATACGTGTATAGTCATAATCTCTTACTTTCTCCGACTTTCTCTTTTTATTTAAGTATAGTACCTTATATACTTTATATATAACAATTGGGGAAAGCCAGAAATAATATATAAAGAGACAGATTAGAAAGCGGGAATTAGCGGGGATGTTTTTTATTAAAAAATTTGATGACACCATTAACTTACAAAAAGACACAAGAATCTTAACGCTCTCTACGAACATATTATTAAAAAAATTTCCTCTCTTTCTTCTCTGTTTCTCTCTCTACGCCCTAGCTTTTATTATTGACGACATTGGTTTGTTTTTATTGCTTGTCCGGTTTGCTAGATTAAATTTTACCACCGCACACGACTTTCTAACATGTCCTTCGACATAAACGACTAACGAAAATGCCGTTTAACATGTATTTTACCTCTGTGATTTTAACGCATCTGATTTATATAATTATTTATGGATTTATACTAATTGTTGCGCGCTTCAATTTTTGATGTTTAGTTTTTAGATTCGGCGTAGTTTGGACATTATGTCTGACTGATTAATATTTGTGAGTTGTTATACGCTTGAAAAGAACCGAAATCTGCGGTCGAAACAAAGCGTTTTGTGATCAATAAAATTTGTCAGTTGGGTCGATCATAATACCTTTGCTAATTGTTAATTATATTCACTGGCAATTCAAGTTCTCTGTTTTCGTTTATATAACTATATTATCTAATTAACGCAACTCACACTGATAAATAATTGACAATGGAGCGGCTGCATGTGACCCAAATTCTTCGTTCGAAAACTTTAACATCTAATTACGATGAAACTTTCTACATTTATACATATATTATTGGACTCTTGTATTTTTAGATATTTTTAAAAAAGTCTTTTATCATCTAAATTTACTTTAAAAGAAGGTTTGTATTTAATTGGGCAAAGATCGGTGAAAGGGTTTATCTTTTTATAAAATTTTGAATTTTTTCAGAAATGTCTGTGGTGGCTTTAACTTTCGCAAATTTTTAGATATCGGACTATGTCTAATTCTGTTATATTCTTCAGTCTATTCTATCCCTATTTCATATATAATTCTTTAAAATTTGGTTGGTTAAACCAAGCTTTATATACGCGATCAAAAGTTCATATGGGAAGTCCATATATGGACCATATATATAGCCTGAACTCTCAAAGTCAACATTGACTTGATTTATGTCGATTGTAAAACCCCATTTGTGCTACTAAACTGACTCTCTATCAATTCATAAAAAGGTTAAAAATTTTAAAAAGTATGCAAATTAAAAGAAATAAAGTATTTTTAAAATAAATAGGAGAGAAAGAGTTGTTGAAGGTTGTCAAGCTAGCAACCACTGGCATTGAATTTATTCTGTTGATGTTAAACTTCATATATGTATATGATATAGTTTGTACTTTGAGACACACTCTTTTGAGACAACGTAACATTATTTGGATAAAAATATATTAAAAAGCGATACCCTAATCTCTAAGCCAGAATAATGTAATAATGACCCAGAAAAGAATAAAGTCCGTTGTGTAAAATTTGTGTAAAAATTACATAAAAATAAAAAAGTATGCAAATTAGGAATATTACTTCATTAAAAATCTTCATTAACATTTTATTGCACTCATAAAGGTTTCTCTATGGATAAAAAGAGAAAGAATAATGTGCAAAAACCTCATAAATTTTTTTGTAAGAGAACCTTTGTGAGCGCAATAAAATGTTAATGAAGCAATATGCAAATTTGTAATTTACACACTTAAAAATAATGAGGAAGCAATATGCAAATTCATAATTTGCACACTTGTCTTTAATAAATTTTTTATATACATATATATTTATCTATTTATTTATTTATTTTTATTTTAATATTTTAAAACTGACAATTCGATGCTGTCAATTGATAGTATTTCATAATTTCTGTCATTATAATTTCTGTTTAATTTATAAAGATACAAAAATAAAATTTGCAATTTCTTAATGTTTTAATATTCTTGTCTACTAGATGATCTTTAACGTTACAATTAGATAACAATGTTTATACAATTGCTAATATGATGTATATTATCAGAAAGATAACAATAGACTTATCGAATTTACTGTATATGTTTAAAAATGTATTTCAATCAGCTTTTCTAAAATTTAATTTTTGAGTGTTATTTTTTGAAATTTAATTCTGTCAATAAATTATTAATAAAAAATTAAATGCACAACAGTGCATTATAATTATTTTATCGAGAATTAGTCTTGAATTTATTTGCTTTTGTACTTTGACACAATCTAGTATGCGAACAATAATAATTTATAACAATGCTTCTGCAATTTAATAACTATGCTAACACTAAATTAATAAATAATTCTTTTCTCTGTTTCTATTTAGAAGAAAATAAACCTTCACTAAAGTGTAATCGTATTTTGGAATTTTTTTATGTTGCTTAATTTTTGATAAGATAATATTTATCCAATTATAATAACCACTTTATGTACGTGTAATTAAAATTATCTGCTTAATCTGTGTAAAAACGTGAGATTGTTCATAGTCATTCTGAGATCGAAGAAGCAGTAATTCCACAATAATTTTGAACCAATTGTGAAAGTTACAAAATATTAATTACATTTCTAATTTTATTGTATTAAAAACTGTACTTTCCGTTAAAATACAGTACAGTAACGATTTGGAATATAGGGAATGCAAAATAGAAAGTGAAAATATTGCGACATATGGATAATATCAAAACAAAAATAGATTGGCCGAAGGTTATTTAAATTTCCTATAATTCTGAATATTCCTTTAATTCAGAAGAAAATTAAAATTATAATTCATAACACTCTATCGCATTAAGAAGATTAGAATGATATTTATTAACGATTAAGATAAAACGTAATTTTCGTTGTAAATGTTCACTTTAGGGGAAACCGTTGAATTATAATAAAAGTTTAATGACACAAATAATGTAATTAAATAAATGTGGCGTTTATTGTAAAAGACACGTCGCTAAATTCTTGTATAAATATTACTATCTACATATAGAAAAAATAGCACCAAAAATTTTTCTCTGTATATTTTCTCTATTTTCTCTATTTTAGCGAATATACGAATGTGTAGCTAATTATTACGTTATCTTATCTGAATATATCTTAACTTATTTAGATATATTTTATCTTAGCTGAAATTAATATCTTAACGCTAGCTTTCTACACTTTCAAATTTTTACGGGCTTCCCACACTGGGATACAGGCTACCTCACGTCGAATATTTAGTTAAAAATATATTGAAAAAATCAACTGATTTTAAGTCGTTTTTTTCCATCGATACGCCAGACATCAAGGAATACGCCTATGAATAAGAAAATATGAAAAAAACAGTAGTTTGTAAAATATTCGCTTGTAAAGAAAAGTTAAATTTGAAAATCGTAAACTTTGCACTTATTTGAAAAAAAAATCGTAACTTTTTTTTAACATAGATAAGTCAAATTTTCTTGTGGATTCTGAAAGAGCAGACTTGAAATGACACGGAAAAAATTTGCAAATTAAAAATTCTAATTAAGGAAAAAACTACAAGGGGTCAATATTGGTAATTTTGCACTTCTTATTTTTCGCACACTACGCAAATTGCCGTATAAAACCTTTATTATAATTTATTTTCTTTAAACGAACATTATAGTTATTAAAAAAAGAGACATATAGCAGTAAATTTAAGCATTTCACATGTTAATGAAATATTAATATTGCAAATTAAACATAAATAATGAAAAAATTATCAAAAAACATAAACACGGTGCTTATGGCAAAAAATAAATTCGTGAACACGTTTTATCTATGGCATACTAATGTTTTATTATTATGAACATATTTCGAACGATAATTAATATTTATTTTGCAACACACGCTGTGCATAATAGAGAGCGATGGAGGTTACATCGTGGAATGCGTCAAATCGTCGTCAAATAAAGTTTTTATTTCAAGGTCTGCATTCTCTTCTGACTCATTAGCAGAAACAGCTTCTTCGAATTTTTATTTGGAATCGCTAGAGTCATCAAATATTTTCGATTTGTCTTTTTATGTTGATCGTAGCAGTTGCTGAATTTTAGTCGCGCTACGCGTTTTGCTTCTCGTTTGGATCATTTTTTTAACAAAATTCGTTAATATTAATATATTTATGTTTATATATTATTTTCTATGCATACACTCTTTAATATAAATCTAACAAGGGAAGGGTCAACCCTCGGGGTCACCGATTTTGTCGAAATTTTACTAAAATGTAGTAGATATAGAAGTGACAAATGCTGTACAGAGACGATGCGCTTCTCAACCGTTGCCGAGAAAAAAAATAAAAAATATAAAAATAAAAAAAATATAAATAAAAAAATATATATATATTGGCGGGGATATATTTACATAATATAAAAAAAATTGTATGTATATTTATTGGATTTATTAGTTTTGTATAGGTATAAAAAAAGGTTACAATAAAAAAGGCGTACAAAAGAAGAATATTATAATAAAATGATTGCGATTATTCGTCGTCTTGCTCTGT